AAAAAAGAATGAAGCCAAGAAACAAAATATATAAATCCACTGATGCAAGTTTTGGAAAGAGAGCAAAATGTTAAATTAGGTGGTATGTGAAATTGTCTTTTATATAGGCAAAAATTAGATCAATTTCGGGCTGGGGATTTAGCTCAGTGGTTCCACCACCTGCCTTGCAAGCACAAGGACCTGAGTTTGATCCCCGGTACCAAAAAAAAACAAAACAAAAACCAAAAAAACTTAAAAAAAAAAAAATTAGATCAATTCCATATTGTTCAAGCTATACTACAAAGGATAGACTGAAATACATTTGAGTTTGGACATTGTATGGAATTTATACAGGAAGGAAGTATTCCTGACTCCTCTTATCCAAATCTGGTGAATATACATGATAGCCTATATCATTATAATCCATAATGGCTTAGAAGTCTGCCTGTCGCAGGAGAAAAACATGGTATCGGGCATGCTGGCGCACACCTGTACTCCAAGGAATTAGGAGGCTGAGTCAGAAGGATCGCTGTGAAATTTGAGGCCAGCCCAAACTATACAGTGAGGTCCTGTCTTAAAAAACCAAAAGAGTAATATGGCTATTTTGTCTGGTTTTAGTTTTTTTTTTTCCTAAATTGCCACTTTATTTGCCCTTATTTTTCTATGTACTGAAATAAATCTAAACAGAATGGCAAAAACTAGAAAATTAAAAGATTTCATTTTAAAAACCAAATACTAATACTCTGAGAGAAAAAAAAAATACTAATTGCTTAGGAATCCCAGCATGTGTGCTTCTGCATTCAGCTTATTTGATTATATCCAAAACTTATATAATTTAAACAAAGCAAATATACCAATTAGAAACAGTAAGAATACAATAACTTTAAGGGCTCTGGATCAAAAAGCCAAAGAAAAAGTTTCAAAGTTTTATTTCACATCCTTTCAAAATACCAATTATAAACATTTATACTTCTTAATTTTTCCAGTTTTTAGTCTGAATGAAATTCCCAGCTTCATAGCCATCTTAGTGGCAGATACTAGCATGAATATGCTAAATGAGTATAAAAAAACTTATTCTAGATTTATACAGCAAAATCAGAGCCAAAAGTGGATCCCAAGTAAACACAGAAAACACATTTTTTTCTCCAAATTTAACATCAATAAAAAGGCATCCATTTTTTTTCTGTCATAAGGAAATAAGGATTTTCTAAGTTCCACTATCTTTCTCAAGACTGACAGGATTGATATTTTAAAAGTAGCCTCATAGTTGTAAGAATTTTTAAATAGAACACATTCTGAACAAAACTACTCTATGAACAGAGAACAAGTGTTCAGGCTTTTTAGAACTGTAATTGTTTTTAAAGTGATTGCCACAGCTGATAAAGCCAACTGACACCTGCCCCACCTGCAGAAAGCAGTGGCTCTAGCTGGGTCATTTAGAAATCCCTACACAGGTAATGCAAACATAAGACTGGCACAATTAGGGAATGAACAAGGCAATAGTAAAGGAAAACACAGGCTGCAGGTAATTTGCATATTACTACATCTTGAAAAAAGTTCAATGTAATTCCTGTGGATACAGGAATCCCTTCATATAACAGACGTCCAGATTTTCCAATTTTCACTTGTATTTGTTTTTCTTCTCTTCTACCTCTAACTCTGTCCTACCCCAACAGAGCAGCATTGCTGCCCAAGACGTGGACGCCAGGTGGCCCTGAAAAGCCCCGCCACAGTGCAAAGCCTCACAGCAGGGCCTGCATGGCCCCGGCTTAAAGATGCCACAGGACAGTCTGTGGAAACTAAGAAGTGCATCAAGTAAAGGCAGCGAGGAAAACCTAGCGTAGGCCATTGGTTAGTTTGTAAAATCATCTTCAAATTGACAAAGTAGAGTATATTTTTTAACTGGCCTCGATGCTATATTGAGAATGTTAATTACCATTGTTTTTTGAGGAAATTTCTCGACCCATTTCTAAACTGACAAAATAGTATGAGAGCTATAAATTCTAAACTTATTTTTTGTTTGGTTTTATTTTTTGAGACAAGGTCTCACTATGTAATCCAGGCTGGCTTCAAACTCACAGCACTCCTCCTGCCTCAGCCTCCCAAGTGCTAGGATTACAGGCATGCAACACCATGCCCTGCTTAAACTTATTTTAATGAAAATCTTACTTTTTATAACAGTAGAAGAATATAGAAATTGTAACTAACAAAAAGTGGTGTTTTTTTGTTTTGGCTTTACGTAAGCCATTTATTTGGTGCTATTATATAGCTTAAAGTTGTATTTATTTTACATTAAATCACGAAAAGGGGGTATATTTAGCTAATGAGAGACAATATGAACAGTAATTGTGGTATTAAGATTTATTAATAGTTTCCAACTTCAAAAATGTTAATAAAATTACTTCTAAAATGTCATACATTCTGAAATGTCTAATGAACACCAGTAAAAATACAAATGATTAGTGGAATTTACTTAAATGATAATGATAAAACCAAACAAAAATACTCCATGGCATGTCGGCTGCCCTCAGTCCAACTGAGCAGAAAGCAGCTACTGGCCTCCCAACTTACCATCTTCCTTTTCCTTTCTGCAATCTGCTCCTCTGATTCCATTTCTACTTCATTGCTAATTGGAGTTTTTTCTTCTATATCATCAATAAAATCTGGTTCCTGAAAGATAGAAATGTCTTCTTTGTAGACACTATTACTCTATGATAAACTAGGGACATCAAACTGTTTAAAAGTCTTTTGACCAAAACTACCCTGGCTTGATGGCATAGGCCTGTAATAACAGCACTCTGGGAGGCTGGGGCAGGATGATCACAAGTTCAAGGCCAGCAGGGGCAAGTTAGTGACCTAGCAAGCCTCAAAGTAAAAACACAAGAGCCAGGAGGTAGTTCAGTGTGAAGGCCATGGGTTCAATCCACAGTATCACCACCACCAAAAACAAAAACCACCATAAAAAACAAACAAAACAACACTAATTCAACATATAGAAATTACAAAACTATTTTTTTTTGGTTTCTTAATTCAAGAAACTGTTCAAAATCCTGCAATCAAATAATTTTGCTTTCTAAAATTCTAGTTAATAAAGTTCTTATCAATTGGGAGTCAGTATGTCAAATATGGTAATATGATCTTATATTTATACTCTTTCTGAAACAAACATTTTTTATAAAACCTGGAGATAAAAGTGCTCAATATGTTCAATTTAAAACTTAAAGGAAATCATTCCAAGATAGGGCACTTATATAATGAGCAAAAACTGCCTTAAAAAAAATTGAGGCCAGGCAGGCATGGCGGTGCACATGTGTAATCCCAGCACTTGGGAGGCTGAGGCAGGAGGATGGCTGCAAGTTCAAAGCCAGCCTGGGCTACAGAGTGAGACCCTGTCTGGAAAAACAAAACAGAAAAATAATAAAATTTAAAATAAAAATAAAAAATTTGAGGCAGGGTCTTACAAAATTAGCCAGGCAGCTTTGAACTTGTGATCCTCCAACTTCAGCCTCTTCACTAGATGGGATTACACATCTGGTTCTCTTAATTATTTTTCTTTTTTGGCATGTAAAGTATGGAACCCCAAGGCTTCCAGCATGGTAGACAAGCAGTCAGTCAACCACTGAGCTGCATCTCCAGCCCTCAAACTTCTTGCGTGTGTGTGTGTGTGTGGTACTGGGACTTGAACAGAGCCAAGGCCTCACACATGCTAGGAAAGGACTCTAGCACTCAGTGCTGAGCTCATCCCCAGCCCTTTTAATTTTGACAGAGGTCACACTAAATTACTTGGTCTGGCTTCAGACTTGTGATCCTCCTGCCTCAGCCTCCTGAGTAGCTCAGATTATAGGCATGAGCCATGAAGCCTGGCTAACTTGGCATATAACAAATATTTTCTGGTGAGGGAAAAGTGTAGACTAAACTCTACCCTCAAAATTACCTCATGTGTTAGTGAAGTTTTTAAAAAATGTTATTTGCTGGCCGGGGATTTAGCTCAGTGGTTCCAATGATGCCTGCTTTGTAAGTGCAAGGTCCTGAGTTCCATCCCCGGTACCAAAAAAACCAAAAAGGTTATTTGCTATTGGTTATAGCACTCTTACAACACTGATAGGGTTATTTTTGTCCAGATATTTAAGGAAAGGAAATCTCATGACTTCAGATTTTAAATAAGAACATTTATAACTGTGCAAAGTTGTACACACCTGCATTCCTAGCACTCTGGGAAGCTGAGTCAGGAAGGTCACATTTTCATGCCCATTCTGAGACCTTAGCGACACCTGATCTCAAAATTTTAAAAGGGCTGGGGATGTAACCTAAGGTGAAGGTCCTAGGTTCAATCCTTGGTACTGCATGAATGCATATATACACATACATATATTGAATGTTTACAACATAAGGACAGTGCTTTTTGGATTTTTTTTTTTAATTACTAAGGCTTAGGAAAATCTCATCTTCAATTCTGCAAGGCTTTGTTGGCTGAGTTGTTTCACAGTAATACAACAAATGTACATACTATAGCAAAATTTGTATTTACACCTAGCAGTACTTCATAAAAAACAGAACAGACTTAAAAAATTGTGAAACAGTTTTCTATTAAACAAAAAAGGTAAAATATGACAAATCATTTTCTTCTGTTAATTCAGTTTCATTAAGAATCAGTAGAGTTCAGGGCCAGGGATTTAGCTCAGTGGTTTTGCCGCCTGCTGCACAAGCGCAAGGACCCGAGTTCGATCCCTGGTATCGAAAAAAAAAAAAAATCAGTAGAGTTCAATACCTGATTGTTGGATACTGATAATCTCAGTGGAGAAAGTTTTCTCTGCTTTGTTTCTGAGCTCTTTATTTTGTTGGTTGTTCCTTCAGAATCCACAGTCATATTCTGATTTTGTGTATCTTTTTCCTTTGAAATATCTTTGTCTTTTCTTCCTTTTTTCCTTCTAGTTTCATAACCACTATGGATGTTTTCCGTGGATTCAGAACTACGTTTCAGAACAGGGCACTCTGGATTTTCCTTGAGGCATGCACAATCCACTTTGTACTTACTGGAATGATAATCAGATAAAGATTTCTTAAAAATACAAAACAAAACTGGGAAATTTCTAATCTGTTTTATGCTGCAACTCTACAAAATTATATCCAGTTACTTATAATCATAAGTAACCCTTAACTTTTTACTAACTTGCATTTCTGGTAACTATCACAAAAGAAATATATTTTCTCATGAAAACAGTAGTATAATTAGATGTAGGTTTTTGGGGGCCACAGACTGGACCTTGGGATAAGTAGAATATGTTAGTTATTGAAAGGAGTCTTTTGAAGCAAAATGGTAATGTAGCTTACACAAAATATCATTAAGGCATAAACCATCATTACTTCTGGGGTCCCAGTATTATAAAAATTGACCTAAAATTTGACTTAAGTCTGTATTGTACTTTAAGGAATGATTTAACAGCCACATTTTTTAAAAAAGCTACCCTTAAAAGATGTTTCCTCTTGCCTCTAAGTATTCTTTTAAATGGAAGTTTGAGAAATAACTGCACTAGCTCTTATCTTCACTAGTTATTACTACTGTCTTTTTATACTGAGATTAAAGCTCAGTTAGGGTAAATATCTTTTTTTTTTTTTGGTATGGGATATCGAACTCAGGTCCTTGCACTTGTGCAGCAGGTGGCGAAACCACTGAGCTAAATCCCCGGACCTAGGGTGAATATCTTAAGGAGACAGTTACTAAGTGGTAAGGATGACATTTAGTTACAGGTCTGTATGACACTATATGTTTTTTCTTTGCTCACAACTGCGAATAATAATAACAACAGTTTATATTTGTTCAGCAGTTACTTTGTGCTAGGAATTGTTTAAAAAAGTTTACATGTGTTAACTCACTAAATTTTCAAAATATTCCTGTGGAGTAGTATTATCAGTCTGATAATTGAAATAATGAGGAACAAAGTGATAAATGGGTCTAAGGTTATATAGTTCATAAGTAACCAAGCTGGATTTGAACCTAGATTACAAGAAGTTTGTATTTTTAATCTCTGTGGGATAAACTATCTCTGAAAGAAAAGAACGTAGAGCTGTTAAGCTAAATTTTCCACCTTCTGGGGAAGAAAAGACTTAAAACAGAAAAGTGGTAAAACTAACTCCACTAATTATGAGAAATGCATACTTAAGAAAAAGGGATTTCACACTGAGAGAAAACATAACATTTAGAAATTTTTGCATTTAAAAGGAGAATGGGGGCAGACTTTTAGCCCAGTGGCTCAGTGGCGCCAGCGCCTGGCTGGCAAGCACAAAGTCTTGAGTTCAATCCCCGGTTCTGCCAAAAAAAAAAAAAATCAAGATAAAAGGAGAACCACCCAAGGTGTAAAACCAAACACTGAAATGAACTGAACTAACAAAACACTAAAACATAAAGAACTCAAAAACATAAACAAGACTATCCAGTGGAAAACATATCAGATGAGATGATTAGACAACTCACAGGAGAAGAGATCCAAACGATTAAACACATACAAAGATCCTTTTCGGGGGGGGGGGGCTGTGTGCTTACCATGCAAGAGGTCTAGGGTTCAATCCCCAGCACCACCACCAAAAAAAAAAAATCTTTAAAAACCCCAAAACAAATGAGAGAGAGGGAGAGGGAGAAAGGGAGGGAATCCTTGGACTCTTAAATAATCAAGGGAAGTGATAAATTAAAACTAAAAATACATGACATGGAGTAGCACCAATTTTTAAAATGCTGACTGCTTGGGAACATAACCTGGGGACAGGCTTCTTTGGAGAGTAATTCACCTGTGCCTCTATACTCTAGAACTCGGTGATTTCACTCCTAGGTCCCTACTGGAGAGAATATGTACCATGCAGACATGTTCAAAAGCCACAGGAGCACCTTCTCATAAATATAAAAGTCCCTAAGAAGTGAATGCCATTAGCAGTGAAAATAAATGAACTAGAGCTAAATACAACAATGTAGTTTCATCTGGCAATGTGTGGGAAAATATGAATGTAGAAGAATGTAGTAAGTTACAATCTACATAAAGTTTAAAACTACTAACTTCTAGATGGCAGGTAGTGAAGGAGAGAAGGTAAAGCTGATGCAGTCTGGTTGCTAAATATGAGGGGCTTCACTGGATGTTTTACTTCTTAGGGAAGTAATAGAGGGATATTGGAAGTACTTCTATTTTATATTAAATTTTTTTAAATTTAAAAAGTTTTTGCCAGGTGTAGTGATGCACATCTGTAACTCCAGCATTGGGAAGGCTGAGGCAGGAGGACTGCTGAGAGTTTGAGGCCAGCCTGGGCTATATAATGAGTTCAAGGCCATCCTGAACTGCATAACAAGAACCTGTCTCAAAAAACCCAAAAATAGGGCCAGGGATTTATTTAGCTCAAGTGGTTTCACCGCCTGCTGTGCAAGCGCAAGAACCCGAGTTCAATAACCGGTACCAAAAAAAATTAAATAAAAGGTAAGTGGAACAAGGGAGGAGGGAAGGAGAAAGGAAGAGACAAGAAAAAAGTGAAAATAGAAGGAAAAAGTAGAAACTAAGCTTTTGTACACAGGGAGTGGAGGGGCTTGAGGGGGAATGGGATAAAATAAAATTTATTTTAAAAAGTTTTTATACTCAGAACTAATGCTTGTTTTTTCCTAGTGTTTCAGAACAGTAGTTTTCAATGTTTCTTGCCAGGGATTTCTAACAAATCCTTTCAAATTACACTGCAAAGAAAATGTGGTATAATTTCTTTTGTTTTGAGAGGCAAAAGAGAAACTATTCATTCACACCAATTAGCCAAGAAAATTGTATAAATAAAATTCTACCACCTAAAATACAAGAGAATGAAGAAAAAATTTCTCACATAACAAAGTCAGTGTTGTATGGCTGAATGAGGACTATTACATTAATCTTATATATACAGTATTATATATTATATTATATAGTAATATAGTAGTATATTACAGTATGAACATTTACATTACAATAAGTGAAAGTTTAGAAAATAAGCAACAATGATATAATGGAAGCTGATATCAAAATGCTTGTTTTCAAGTACATTCAATTGTCTCATGAGAAATAAAAGCTACTAAAGGAATGACAATTATCTAAATTAATATAAGGACATTAAGGAATTACTTTGAAACAATTGATGAAATATTTACAGACTAGAACTTACCAATTCCCATAGTCAAAATCAAAGGCAATGGTAATTTCAGTGCCCTTTGGAATACTCTGGATAGAATAAATATAAAGATGTATGGTTCCCTCTTCAATTTCATGCCTCACCTGTTAAAAAATTTACATGTCTATACATTACTTTTTATCTTTAGAAGTATCTTATGCAACTTAGCTAAGTACTGTAGTCCTAAAAGCGTGTCACAAACACAACTTGGAAAATTACTATTAATTACAAGACCTGTAACTACAAATCAGAGGTTGTCAGCTGGGAAGGTTGTCCAAATGTACTGCAGATTGCTGCCCCCTGCTAACCCCCACCAGCCCCTGTGGCACCCAAAAGATAAGCACTGTACTCATATTTCATCAGTTCTAAGAAGTGTATTTCTTCACCTTTTAGCGTCTATGAAACTGGGAGTCTTATAAGTGCTGGCAGCTTGGCTTTGATGGAATGCAATAGTGATACAGCCAACAGTACTTTTCTGTGATAGTTTCAGATATTTTACATGATACTCTTTTAGTCCTCAATACTACCTTTTCTAGATAAAGATGAGGCATAGTTAGGGTTACAAAGCAAGTAAGTGACAGAGAAGACATGAATGTACTATGCGGCTCCAGACATTATACTCTTTGCTGTAATATTATATAATTATAGATTTAAAATGTTTATTATGGCATGTAAAAGCAAACCAATGCTATTCTATAGTCCACATTAAAATACAAATTTATCAAAAATATTATAGTAGCTCTACTTTAGCTTTTAGCCTTTTCATCTAACTTAGTAAAATCATACCATATATTTGACCCATAAATACAGCTCCCTGTATAGACAGAAAGAACCCCAATATTCCTTCTTACAAGGAACATCACAATTCCTTCACTGTGTAAAGTAATTTTTAAGACCTTACAGACAATATCACCTAAATTTTCAAAACAGAAAGATCTGAGCAAAATAAAATTACATCAGCATTGAAGTGTTTAAAGTTACCAGGATTTGGCACTGGTTTTTGTTTTTATTTTTGTTTTGTGGTACTGGGATTCCAGGGCCTTCAAAATGAGCCATATCCCCAGTCTCTTTTTCATGTTTTATTTTGAGGCAGAGTCTCACTGTCTCTAACTTGTCTAGGCTGGGCCTGACCTAGCTGTCCTCCTACCTCAGGGCACCTCGGTACTTATTGCTCAGATTCTACACACACTCAGCCCTCACCTCCCCACAAGGTTCCAGTAGATTTACCTCTGCATTGGGTGTACAAGAACGCCTGATGAACCGAGCCTCATTCCCAAAAGTTCTTGCATCAACACACATTTCTAGCCCATGAAATTTAGAATAGAATAAAACAAAAGGATATGGTCTACAAAGGAAAAGAAAATTACAGGCTATTAACATTTTTGTATAATAATCTCCTGTCTTTCCAAGGAAAACAGTTAAAAAATATTTAAGAGTTTAAGAAATTTCTACAAGATTCTCTATAAGTAGAGAAACACAAGTGACTCCACAACCCTCTCTTAACTTTGGTTACTTTATACTAACAAGATTTTTACCTTCCCCTATTATAAACTTACCTAAGCCAACGGCAATTAATTTAAAGTAAAAATTCTTTTTTTTTTTTTGTTTTTAGTTTTTTGAGACAGGATCTTGCTGTATAGTACAGGGTGGTCTTGAACTCACTATGTAACCCAGGCTGGCCTTGAACTAATGGCAATCCTCCTGCCTCAGCCTCCTGAGTGTTAGGATTACAGGTGTGTGGCACCACACCCAGTCTAAGGTAAAGAATGACCACTGCCTTTGTAGAAAGATTCACATTCTATATTTTTAAAGTCTATATTTCTTGGTACATTTAAAACTGGTTTATACCTGTTTCAGGTCAAATCAGCTATACAAATGGGGAAAGATGTATATTTCAAAACTCAAGTTATAAACAAATGTTTTTAATAATTTAGGGCATAGTATATCAATGTTATCCTCCTAAAGATAGGAACATATTTCTAGATTTTAGAGAAGCAATGGCTATCAGAGGATCATATCAATTCTCCATAAGAATCCCAAAGCACTGAATAGGCCTCCAAAACCATTCCAACACCAACACTGTGGGAGCTGAATGTCACTGCAGTAATGCAGGGACAATCTACCGCTGTGTAATAGAGGACGAGACTGTGCCTGCCGTCACCATGGTCTTCTCAGGTTCTAGCAACTCTGTTACAAGGAATTAGCACAGGTCCTGGGTGGAAAGTGTTCCTGGTAACTTCAGGAACTCTTAAGAGTTCCTGACTGTTGGTATCCTATATATCCAGCTTATATTGCTTTCTTTCTTTCCTTCTTTCCTTTCCTTTCTCCTCCCTCCTTCCTCCTCCCTCCTCCCCCCTCCCCCCCTCCCCTTCTCCCCTCTCCCTCTCCCTCTCTTTCTTTTCTTTCTTTCTTTCTTTGCAGTACCAGGGATGGAACTCAGGGCCTTGTGCTTGTGAGGCAGGCGCAGTGTCACTGAGCTAAATCCTTGACCCTATATTGCTTTTTATTTATCTTTGATTCTTTCAGAATTTACAACAAAACAGAACTAGGCAAGAGACTCAGAGGAATATGTGTGTGTGTGTGTGTGTGTGTGTGTGTGTGTGTTTATTACTGGGAATCGAACTCAGGGCCTCATTCTTGCCAGGCAGGTGCTGTGCCGCTGAGCTACATCCCTGGCCCAATATATGTGTTTTTGTTGTTGCTGTTATCACAACTCAAAAGTTATCATTAGTCACTGTTCAACAACAATAAATAAAGTTTTAAATACTGAAATGATCATGTCCGGGAGGAAAAAATGCACAGAATCACAGCATGTGAGTGAGATATTGAAATCCAATATTTAACTACACAAAACAAACAGAAAAATATATGAATGTACCTTTTAAAGAAATACCCATTTGCTTCAAACTGTTCTCTCAGCATAAACTTCCCTCTATATTCAATAATAAGAGCATCAGGAGGCAAATCTTTGGCAGATTTCAGAATTTTCTTATTCTTTTGTATATGGCTCTAAAAAGTCACAGTAAATGTTGAGATTAGTAAGGCTTGGCTGCTTTCAGGCTAACTAAAGATACACAGTACAGAAAAGGGCCTTGTTGCATAATTTTTTGACAAATGATATATTTACCTCTACAGGAGGTTTGAAGAGCAAATTGTTGATGTTCAATTCTGCTTTATTCATGTCTTTTTTGTCACTTCCATTGCCTAATCTCAGAGCTATTCTTTGTGCCTCCCTCTGAATACCCTCACTATACTGGTTATTATTTGCCTCTTCATACCGATCCATCCATGCTTTGATTTTTGTCTCCCATCCAAAATTAGAACCATCAGATGAAGGATCAATTTCTGGAGCTGAACCCTAAAATTACAGCAAAGTAAACATTACTACTTCAACTTAGACACGCACTCAATTGCAATTTATATAAAAGAACATAAAATAGAAATAGTGTTTGGCTTTCTAAGTTGATTCTAGTGAAAGGAAGATCTTACATTAACCTGCATGCCACAAAAATGAGTCAAACACTCAAAAAAACTGAGTTCTAATAGCAGGCATTCAAGCTTCACTGTCAGAACCATAGCCAATTCAAGGGCACTGATAAAACTGCAGATATTTAAACTTTAGATCAATGTCAGCTAATAGCTAAAAAAAGATAGCATATAAATTTTCTGACTTTAAAGAGAACCACTACGTATCTATCCTATAGCAACAAACCATCAACTGTTACTTGCCCATAGTTCTATTTAACTGAAATAAATCTGCAATTATGCTGCATATTCACTGTATTTATTTCTGATATATGGTTTTAGCATGTTTTATTTCTGATATATGTTTTTAGCATGTTGTATTACAAAACTGTATCTTAATCTAGTCCAGCTCCAAGAGCTATCTTCATTGGCCATATGATAAATTTAGTTATAAATGCTGCTCATAATTTCCTAAAATACTGAACACCTTTATGAAAACAATAATTTCCACATGAAAAATCTAACTGCAAAATTTTAATACATCCAGATTTCATAAAGACCCTTACATACCCTATTAGACAAGTACACGTGCACGGTAACATATTACTAAAGCTTACCATCAGTCCATCTAGCATATGAATCAACAAACTGTATTACAAGCATCACTGTTTTCTATAATGAAGTATAAACTAAAATAAGCTGCTTAACTCTTTGATGGGCATAGGCTTATTTTACCAATTGGTATTTTTATTGTGCATTATGATGGTCATTTGATAAAGAACAGATTTTATGAGATACAACTTCATATTAAAGTTTCCCTCTGATTTATTAAAGTATTCTGTTCAGTGTTTAAATTACTTTTTAAAATAAATTCCTCTGCTGACTTGATCTTTCTTTTATGTAGCTCTTTCCTACCTATTAAACCTTACAAAATTTACTACTGAATTACTTACTGGAGTTGTAATGACTTTAAACAGATATTTTCAAGTTAAAAAAATAATTTCTAAAGAGACACAAAAACTTTTTAAAATTTCACACTCTGAGGTGATCTCTTCAAGTACTAAAGGAAAGTATCTCAGTTAAGCAAAAGGTGCTTATTTTTCATGTGGCCTAAAGTTGAGGTGATTAGATAAACTGAGACAAAGGTATGCTGGAATATTAATAGCCAATAACAATAAAAAAGTTGACCTCTTTAGTCTATAAATTCCATAAATCCAAGTTAACAAAGTAAATATAAAATCTTCAACTGTAACACATAAAGAACATTTTACAGAGCTTTGGACTTGTAGTATGCTAAATGACACATACATTAAAATTCTTGAGAGAATTACAAAACTATGGAAGAAGAACCATTTGGGTGTGCTGGTAATATTTTCTGTTTTCCAGAAATGTGGCAAAATGACTTACTATTCTGTTTCATACTATAGGAACATAAAATGTATGTAACACACTCCTCACATCCTATTTAATGTCTCACAATTTCAGAACTTTGTTATCCCTTACAACCTAACCCAGAATAATAACAACAAAAAGCTACTTCTGTAACTCAGTACCAATCCAAGTTTTAGGTAAGAAGCAGATGTACAGAGCCTTGCTTCTCTCAGCAATTTTAGCAGCTAGAAAATTGAGAATTTATTTATCCTAATTAACTTAAGGTACATGTAACTAGTTTGTATTTACATGGTGAATCTATAGTGATTATATGGTAGAACAACTGATTTGACTTCTTTAGAATCCCGATAATGCAAAAGAGCAAATTTTAATTTCGTAACGTGATTCTACATTCGTGTGTATGAAAATATACTAACAAAATAATATCAAAAACATGGAAGATAGTTAGACTTAAATTCTAATAACACAACTTACTATTTCAAGTTGTTTATACACCTTCCCTTTTTGACTATTTTTATAGTGTTGAACCAAAAAAGTGGCACATTAATCCAATTAGAATTCAAAGGTCTCACTTCTTGTACATGTAATAAGCAATGAAGAGAACATAAATATTGGACAAGCAGTCGTTTTGTAAGCTCCTGAAAATTGACAGTTCATAGTAACACCTTCAATTTAATGTGCTTACCTTAACTCTTGATGACTTTCTAGATCCTTCACGAAAAGCCTAAAATAACCAAAAGATTGTGAGTTATTTTTCAAAGCTAGATATTTAAGAATGAGTTCACTGAAATTTTTCACTGAAATGTCGTAACAGTAAGTTTGGTAATTGCTAATAGTGGTAGAACTAGGAGACTGCTGACGTAAAGAAAGGCACTTACCAGAATTTGTACTTTTACAAACATAATGCAGGCTATTTAGAAAACAAGAGTGTATATATGATGCTAAGACAAAACTTTGCAAATATTATATGTGCTCATTGTTACAGTTGTCACTATAGTACAACATAGTGACTGTAGATATTATGCACTCTACATTTCAAAAAGCTAGAAGAGGGCTAGGGATATATAGCTCTGTGGTAGAGTACTTCCCTAGCATGCCCAAGACCCTGAGTTCAATTCCTAGTACCACTACAAAAACAAAATAACAAAAACACAAAAAAAGACGGGTGTGATGGTGCACGCTTGTAATCCCAGCACTCAGGAAGCAGAGGCAGGAGGATGGCCACGAGTTCGAGGCCAGCCTGGGCTACAAAGTGAGATCAGGGCCAGCCTGAACACAAAGTGAGAGCTTGTCTCAAAAAAAAAAAAAAAAAAAGATTTTGAAAGTTTTTAATCACAAAAGAAATAAGAAATGAGATTTTTTAAAGAAGTTTTTGGGGGAGGTACCGAGGATCAAAGTCGGGACCTTGTGCTTGTAAGGCAGGCATGGGAACCACTGAGCTAAATCCCCAGCCCTAACATGTTTAACCTGATTTAAACATGAATCAAATATTATTTACTACCCTTAACATACACAATTTTTTGGCTATCAGTTGAAATTTTTTAAAAATAAAAATTATAGGGCCAGGGATTTAGCTCAGTGGTTCCAGAGCCTGCCGCGTAAGCTCAAGGTCCCAAGTTCAATCCCCGGTACTGAAAAACAAAATAACAATAACAGAAATAAAAATTAAAGCCAGGGATTTAGCTCAGTGGTGCCACCATGTGCCTCACGAGCACAAGGTCCTGAGTTTGATCCCCAGTACCAATAAATAAATAATTACAACCACAGAAAAATATTTATATAAAAATTGGGAGGGTACCAACAATACTGTAATAACTTGAAGTGATAAGACATAGAAGGGGAATAGTGCTATTATTTTAATTCTCTAAGCAACTAGCCAATGATATTTCTGCCCTTAATGGGTAAATGTCGTGCGTGTTCAAACAGACCTGAATTTATTCAATAAGTATTTACTGAAACCCCCCTTAGCTGCCAAATCTAGAGTTAATTAAGAGTTAATTTTGGTCTGGAGATGTAGCTCAGTGGTAGAGCACTTGCCTAGCTCTGGTAAGGCTGTGGGTTCAATCCCTGTACTATGCAAACCTAAAGACAGCAGCAGAGATCCAAAAATATTTAAGTAGTAAATTTATGTACAGATCACATGTTAAAAGAGAGCAGGCTTTATTTATTTTTTTTTTTTTAAGGAGAAAAGGAACCTTTATATAAATCATTGGAGGGGAGGGAGTTACGTGGACTTCGCAGAATGCATATGCTCAGAAAAACAAAGGAATACAAGCCTGGGAGCACAAAGAACTATAAAAGAAGCCATGAAACAAGGAAGAATTATGTAACATTCAAGGAAAAGTTAATATAACACCACTTTTACCTGCTGAAAAGTAGTGGGATATGAGATTGATTTCTAAAATATCCACTTAAGTGGTGAAAACAAGTTAAAAAAAAATCCACTTAAGCCATAGAAGCCTTATTCAAAAAGTCAGCTTTTTTTATGATTCTGACTTAGTTACTGTATTGTTCTTCTCTAAGTAAAGAGTATATATAGACTAGGGCTGGGGATGTAGCTCAGTGGTGCCACCACCTGCCTCGCAAGCACCGGTACCAAAAAAAGGAAAGTATAGAGTATTTCTGCGCAGAGGAGGGATATAAGAACAGTATTTATAGGAAATCTGATAACCAAATGCAGAATGCAGAGCGAAGAGAATAAAGGAAGCAATATCAAGGAAGAAATTTACAATACTTATATTACAATGAGATAGTGGGGGCTTAGACTAGGTTTGTACCAGCAAAAGAGGCAAAAATATTTCAAAGGAAAAGTCATTAAAAGCTTTTGAGAATAAACTTGGATGTCAAAGATTAAAGATGACCTAAAAATTTTAGAGCTTGGGTATTGACTGTGTCAAGACAGACAGATAAACACACACATACACAAATGGATAGCGAAGGAAGATATAAGTTTGGTGTAGACAGGAAACACTGATAGAGAAATGGTATAGATTTGAGTATCCCTTATCCAAAATTCTTGAAACTAGGAGTCTTTCTGACTGGATTCCTTGGGTGGAGGCAGTTTTGGATTATTTGCATAAACTGTAATGTTAAAGTTGAGTAACCCTAATCTCAAAATCCAAAACCTGAAACTTTTTGAAATTTTTTCAGGTTCTGAAGCTTTCCAGATTTCAGATTTTCAGATTAGGGACAATCAAACTGTAAGAGAACATTTGTAAGTAATATTTGCTATAAGAGTTTTATGAAATAAAACAATGAAAATAAATGTCAATTAGTATTTTACTCTTCCTTATTAATAATGTTAATACTTCACACCAATGTCGAGTTGCTAAAACACCAAGAATACTTTAATAGAATTCTATACTATAAATATGTAAAAAAGTATCATTCATCCAGAACATTTATTGCTAACTCCATTCACATTTAGCCATAAGAGTAGGTCAAAAGCAAAACGATATCCTTGTGCTAAGTATTTTATATTACGTATTGTCCCCAAATAATAATTCTACAGATGACCAAACTAGTAATCTTTTATGCCCAATTCTGGATTTTCTCCCCTCCCAATCCCTGTCAAATACTACTAATTTAATGCCTGAGAAAAATCTCTTCCCTTTAAAATACACAGCAATATTCTGAAGTAAACATGACATCATAAAAACCTAGGATTTATTTTAAATGCCTAATAAAACAGAAATACACATAGCCATTGGTGGCACATGCCTCTAATCCCAGCCCTAGGGCGGCTGAGGCAGAAGGATCGCTGAGAGTTCAAGGGGCAGCTTGGGCTACATAGTGAGACCCTATCTCCAAAAAACAAAAATCAAATTTCCAAGTACCATAATTTGAAAGCAGTAGACAAAAAGGTGAGTCTATACATGAGTTCCTAAATCATATAAGGTATGTAACAGTCTCTGTGTAAATTATAATCTATCAAATATGAGAATAATAACTTGAAATAAGGCAAAATGTGGTTAAGTGCTGGAATAGAAGGTGCAAATGGTATGACAGCAGAGAAAGACCATATCTGGTAGGAAAACAGCAAGTTTTATGGACGTAGTAGTACTTGAGATGGGCCTCAGTTTAGTAGGAGACAAAGATAAAGAGGGTATTCAAAATGGTGAAAGAATCAGCGTAAGCAAGAGAATGTGGGTAGACAGTGAACTGTCCACACTGGATAAAATACAAGTAGAGGGCTGGGGATTTAGCTCAGTGGTTTCACGCCTGCTGCGCAAGAGCAACGACCCGAGTTTGATCCCCGGTACCAAAAAAATAAATAAATAAAATAAAATACAAGTAGAAAAGTAACAGGAAAGGAAAGGGACATACACATAGAGAGTGCTATAGTCAAGCTTATTTTAAACAGGGAGGTAAAATTAGAAAATTAAACACTTATTTAAAAGTACGATATCCACTAAATAACCAAATAGATCATGAAGAATTACTTGGGGGTGGGCTTTATTTTGAAGCCTTGATTGCATATCTAAAGTATAATTTCACTCTAAAATAACAATGTACTTACTGTGAAAGTATTTTTTACCTTATGTAACAAAAATCTTCCTTAGCAATTACAGTCACACATTGCTTAACAACCAGGACACATTCTAAGAAATGCATCATTAAGCTCTTTGACACTTGTAAACATCACAGGCTATCCTCACACTAACCTACAAAGTCTAACTCCTTCCTCCTCTCAGCTAGACAGTATAGCCTATCTAGGCTGCAAACCTAGACAGTGTACTTCTGTAGGCAATTAATATAATGGTATCTGTGTATCTAAACATACTGAAACACAGAAAACACAGTAAAAATACTAGGTCATAGGAAGTTTTCACCTTATATTCTTATGGGACCACTATTGCATATGTGATCCATCATTGACAAATTTTATTAACAAATTTGATGAAAACTTAGCTTATAAATAGTCCTCTGCCATCAGAGGCTAGGGATAAATTATCCAAAAACTTTAAGTACAAAAACAAAAAGGAAAAACTGCTGGTAAGAAATTCAATAAATAGGAAGCCTTACTAAAGCAATAAAACAGGGGCCAGGGATTTGGCTCAGTGGTTCCACCACCTGCCTCACAAGCGCAAGATCCCAAGTTCAATCCCCGGTACCAAAAAAAAATCTTACAAATAAAGTAATAAAATATAGGACCATTACACCTGTTTTCTAAAATATCAACCTTTTCTATTCTACTTAGGCTTTGCATTTCTATCATTAGCATCATTAGAGCGATGATTTCAAAGCAATTTGCAAAGTTTCTTCTCTATTCTACTCCAATCTGTGAAATGCATTAAAATTTAAAAATAAGTGTAATTGCTTAAAATCCTGCCACTTGTTCAGCTGCTATGCATCATTCTCATTCTCCTTCCCTTCCTACAAAATTCAGCTACTCCTATCTAAAAAGAAGCAAAAACAGCCAAGTGTGGTACACAGTTCAAGCCCAGCCTAAACTAAAGAGCAAGACCCTGTCTCAAAAAAACAAAACTACAACAAAAAGAACCAAAAAATACCTTTTTACATTTTGAAATGTTCTGTTCTTTCTCCCCACTTTTTCTCCTTCTTTTATCATTGACCTTGGACACTCTGGAAGCAGTTAAGGTAATGGAAGTTGGAGTGTGCTGAAATGCAGTATACAAGCCCACGGGAACTTCATCACCACTCTCAGTCGCACTGGTATCACCATCTTCAGAAGAAAGTTACTGCATGTTTAATACTTTTATTTCAAACAATAAAAACAGCATTCCACATGACAGTTTTACTATCGCCCTCTTTCCAAAGAATAAGCACCTTTTATCACATCTTCATGCATGTCACTCATAAGAAGACACATTTTAGTACGAACTACTGATACCGTTTCTCACACGTCAAACTACAAAGTGTCTAAAAGTCTGGCTTTGGTGGTGTGACTGTGGGAAAGAGGCACTATCGCAGATTGCCAGAGGTGTTTCAAAATCTCCTATAGGGGGCTGGGGATTTAGCTCAGTGGCACCACACCTACAGCCAAAAAAAAAAAAAAAAAATCCTATGAAAGGAAATTTGCCCATACTTTATAAATTATATATGTACTTAACCACTTGACTCAGCCATCCCATTTCTAGGGAGCTACCCAAAAATGTATGAGCTGGGTGTGGTGACACATGCTTGTAATCCCAGCATTGAAAGGCTGAGGCAGGAGGATCTCCACAAGTTCAAGGCCAGCCTGGTTTACAAGTGAGCTCAAGGCCAGCCTGAACTACATAGTGAGACCCTGTCTCAAAAAACCAAGAAAAGGGATAGGGACATAGCCCAGTGGCACCATGCCTGCCTGGCAAACTCAAGGTCCTGAGTTTGATTCCTGGTACCAGAAAAAAAAAAAAGTACAAAAAACTTACATAAGAGGGTTTCACTGAAGGCACTATTTGTAATTTAGGAAAAAAAAACCAAAAACTGAAAACAACCCAGAATATTCATCAAAGAGGAATGGTTGCCCTCGCAAGCGCCAAGGTGCTGAATTCAATCTCTGGTACCACAAAAAAAAAGAGGAATGGTTGAATATAATTGCTAGCTTGAGCCCAGACTGGGCAATTTTTTTTTTTTAAGCAAAACATTTATTGGTACATTTCATATATATATACATAATGATCACATTCATCATAGGAAATGTATACCTTTACATGATGTATCTTGCTTTTTTTCCCATTCCCCCCTCCAACCCATCTTCCTCTCCTTATTTACAAAAGCTTTTTTTCCTGCTATTCCCTTTTTTTCGCTTGTACTTTCTTTCCTTTCCCTCTCCCCACTCCTTTGAAAGCAAGTATGTTTTAAGTCAAATGAAAATTGTGGTATATGTCATATAAAATTTAGAAAATTCTGTCTTTAATCATAAAAAGAACTATTCCATATAATAAACTAATGGGTCGCCATCTTTTTGAATAAGATACTTTCCTTCTTTAAATCAATAAACTACCTATATGTAGGAAAATTATAAATTTCTTATTTTTGTTTTCCTCAAGTTTCCATGTTTCCTAAAGTAAATATAGACTTACTCATTAATCCATTAAAAAGAATATTTAAAATCACCTAAGACTGTAAACAAAATACTCAATCAAAATTTATCAACAGGGGTTTACATGTAGCTAAAAATATGCAGGCCACTTATTTTCTTCATCACACTAATCTTAATTTAGTGTAGGTCCTTTACCCACCTGACATATTTTCCCTTTTCCGGCGCTGTAGTAGCACTGCCCTCTCTTTATCCAGACTCCTACATTAAAATATTAACATGGTTATTTATCACACTATCATAAAGACAGATGGTAAAGCATATCTGTTTTAAATGTGAACTTTAAGATTTTTTAAAATATTATTAGTGAAAATCAACAGTATGAAATATGCACCATCTCTTGCCTTACAATTTAGATATGATCTAGTGCTATAGCAGTAATGCCAGTTAAGTGACTCCATTTCATTCTGCTCAAAAAATCACTTTTTACCTAAGAAATAAGTATATTTTTTGAAAATCAGTATTTAAAGCAAAAAGTCTGAAAAAAGACATGAAGTTAACAATACAATTAAAATCATAAATTTCTTAAATGTATGATGCTAAATTAGTGTCTGTTGCATATTATGCCTCAAATTCTTTCCACTCTTGAAATAATAAACACCAAACATTTAACAGGCAAAATTAACCTCATATTAACCACCACCAGTCTCTACCCATGAACTACATAATCCATAGTAACTTTTTCACATTTTCCCCAACATTTTCATTGTATATACTTAACTCAAGAGAATGACTAGATCATTTTAAAAGAAGAGAACAAAGGCTCTAGACTAAGATGATTACAATTCAGTAAAGACTAACTTTAAAGTCTACTGGGACATGTAATTATCATCCTAGTATGTCATATAGCAATCCTTGTTATCACAGAATGATAAGCAGATCTCTCTCAACTAACTGCCCTTCTAATGGTCAGTTTTAACCAGCTCTTACTGAATTCATCAACAGACATTTATTTCACCAAAAACTATCTGGCGGAATGCAGGGATTTAGCTCAGTGGCGCTGCACCTGGCTCACAAGCGCAAGGTCCTAAGTACAGTCCTTAGTACAAAAAAAAAAATAGACCAAAAACTATCTGGCAAAATGCTAATAACGACCATAAAATGAAACAAAAAATATAAAAACTTCACTCATATTAAGCAAAATGGTAGGATAACTCATTGATGTTACCAATTCTCATCTAATGAAACTGGCAAAAATCTGTCAAATACTCTTCTCATGAAGCTTGGGATAATAGATATGCTTTTCAATTATTGGTGAGAATTCAAAACTGCACAGCTCCTACTGGAGGAGGCTGTGGTAAAATCTGGCAAAATGTGGAACTGAATAATCCTACTTCTATTTGCAATAACAGAAGACTGAGGGCTGGGGATTTAGCTCAGTGGTTCTGGCGCCTGCCTTGAAAGCGCAAGGTCCTGAGTTTGACCCCCAGTACCAAAAAAAAAAAGAAGACTGAAAAAAATGTCTCCCCAAAAGGGACTAGTTAAATGAACCACAGTATATGAAAAAAGTACCTTGAAGCTAAAGAAAGAAATGAGCCACTCTATACTACTATGATCTCTATACTTCTACTTTTTGTTTTGAAGCATGGTCTCGCTATATACTCAATACATGCACTGCATGCCTGACTTCAGCACTTATTTTTAAAAGAAAAAAAATAAATGTAACAAGTACTCTGTATAAAATGCTCCTGCTTATCTAGGCAAGGAGAGGACATAAATACATGGGTAAATATCTGCGTGTAAGAGAACAAGCAATGGGAGGAAAAACCCATTTTTACAACTGTCACTTCTGGGATAAAAGGAATAAAGACAGAAGTTAGATTTATTTGAATATATGCTGTTTCATATATTTGATTTCAGAATAATAGAACTACTTTTTACAAAATTATAATGTATATAATTATGAAAATAAATTAAAAATGGATTTCTCAAAATTAATAACTAAATCACTCATGCATTTCTGGTGAGAAGGTAAAATGGCATAGCCTTTATGGAAAATAGTTTGACAATTTCTTATAAAACTAAACATGAACTAACATATATCTGAGCTATCACACTCTTGGGCATCAATCTCATGTTAAAAAATCACTGATTCACATGAAAATCTATACACAAATGTTCATAGCAACTTTACTTGTAATAGTCTACAAAGTATAAACAACCCAAATGTTATTCCATGGGTGAATGGTTGAACAGAGTGTAGTACATATATATCATGGGATACTACTTTCAGCAATAAAAAAGAATAAAATAGTCATACATGCAACAAATCAGGTAGCTCTCCAGGGAATCATGCTCACTGAAAAGGTCAATACCAAAAGGTCATATACTGGGTCATAAAATATATGGTCCCATTTATATGACAGTTTGGAAATGACCAAATTATAAAATGAAGTATAGATCAGTGGTATTTGCAGCAATGAAAATGTTCTATACCTTGGCTCCTTCACTTTATATCAATGTCAAAGTCCTAGTTATGATACTGTATTAACAGTTTCAAAAGATGTTACCACTAGCAGTAACTAGGTAAAGATAGACAAGGTCTCTGTATTTTTTTTACAACTGCAATAAAGTTGACAATTACTCAAAAAGTTTAACTTTTTGAAACATAATCTAATGTCAGTGTGTGTCCAGTTGGTGTTATAATCATGAAATTCTTTCAAGGAATTTCAAACAGAATTATACAGCCCAAAGAGTATACTCCTAGATAAAGTTCCAAACTGCTTTATATTATCCTACCCATGGTGTTAGGGTTGGTGTTTTTGCTCTGTAGGATTAAGCAACTGAGTACTTATGTGACATTTTGGTTTGTTTTTTTTTTTGGTACCGAGGATCGAACTCGAACTTGGGTCCTTATGCTTGCACAGCAGGTGGCGAAACCACTGAACTAAATCCCCGGCCCTTATGTGACATTTTAATTACATTATTCTTGTGTTGTTGAGAACTAGGTTATTAGATATGATATACTATAAAAAAGTTGAATAAAAACTTGCATTCCTAAATTTAAACTGCAATCATAAGAATAAATTCATATATTTTAGATTAAAAGTAAACACATAGTTAAAACAGAATTGTTGACAATTACTGAACCAGGGTGGTAGATTCATATGAGTTCACCGTATTATTTTGCATAGGTTTAAAAATGTTCATAATACATTTAAAAACAAAAAAGAAATTGGGGGACTGTACATGCTGTAGATAGGAGGAATGGTAGACTTACCAAATTATACATGTAACCAAGGTAGTGTTCTAGAGACTTTTTAGCATAGCACATTCCAGTAAAAAAAGATGTAACACTTAGAAAATGCACTATTATTTAATGTATCACTTATAAAATCCCTACAAAGTAAACAATGATACACTGTCAATGGAAAAATTCTTAATTTTAGAGATGTCAGTATAAGAAAAATAATAGTACATGTAAAAATGAAAAAGTACACCTTAAAATTAATGAAATACAGTGGCACCCCAGTCCGAACTTAATTTGTTCTACAATTTTGAAAAAGATGGCCATGTTTGTGTTTGTGATGGAAAGGTGGCTTTGTTCATGTTTGTCATCCAATCCACAGTTTGCAAACAAAAACAAAATTTTGCCCAATGCCTCTATATGGGAACCAAATTTTTTGTAAACAAGTGGTCATGAATTGAGTGAGCTACCACCGTACTGTGATTCATTAATTTTTTAATCTAGAAATTATAAATAAAATCCTATTAATTTTTCCAGTAAAATTACTGGCAATCTTATCAGGTATGTACAACTTACCTAGGCTGACAACGTTCACATAGATATGTATCAGGAATATGCTGCCTGTTGATCCCCATGCAGTCAATATGTTGCCAAACACTTAAAAGGAAAAAAGGGTGAGGGGAGTAGATGAAACATTAAAACCATATTTAAGATCTATTCTGTTTATCACTTCATAAGTACCTACTTTGAGTTTAGCGCTGCAAAAGGTGCTATGAGGCAGTCACAGAAATACGTCCTCAAGGAGATAAAAGTTTGAGATGTAAAAACAAGAGGTAAATGTAGGATACATAAAATAAATTTCTACGTAAAAATAGGATGCACAGAATAAATTTCTTTTTTAAAATGTAAAAGTTATAAATCATCAAGTAGAGATGTCCACACCATGTGGAGTTGATGGGAAAAATACCTGGAGAATAACGGGTGTGATAAGAACCTCACACTGGGAAACAGGAATAAAAAGATTATTTTAGTATTTATCAGTTGGCAGATAAGAGGAAAAGGTGGCCAGATAGTGGTCAATGGGTTAAAAGTAGATGAAGTGCAGTTAGAATATATAGCACTCAGATTGTTGGGATGTGTGTAGATTTCCTGTCAACATGTAATGATTTTAGTGGCATATAGTATTAATTAAGGAAGCTAAGAAAACAAAGCAAAATGACCTACTAGGAGGCTTTTCCAACATTTCAGACTTAGTTAAAAAAAAGTACAGAACTAGAATAATAGCAAAGAAATATTCAAAGAATCTAAGAGGTATTCCATAAGGTGAGAAATTAAGACTAATTACTTTGAATGGAATGGACCAGCTTGAAGCAAACTTCTCAATTTGTTTCATATATTATTACCAAGACTTCAATTGTCTAAAATATACATACATATACTGTATATATATATGTTCACAAACATAGTCTTAACACTTCTGTACATAAAAATTAGCAGCACCTAATATAAACATACTAACCTAACCAGTATTGTGTTGTTCTTTACTTCTTAACTGAAAATGTTCAGATAAGAACTGGTAGAATGTGGGAGTATGAACTATATACAAAAGAAATGAAAAAAAGCAAAATAAAGAACAAGGAAAATTAAAATAATAAATTACATAAATTTGAGAGGTAAATAGTGATGTCATGCAGACAACAGAAAAAACAAAGCTAGAAAATTAATAAACGGTCAGGGTAAGGGATGTCAGACTTGAAAAGATGGGTATAGGCAATAGGATGTTGAAAAAACTAAAAGACACAATGTAAAGAAAGAATAGTGAAGAAAACAAAGATTGAGCCTTGCAGTATGCTACAAGTTGAACAACAGAAAAAAGAACCAGAGAGAGGGACAGGGAGAGCAAAGAGCGAAAGGGCGAGGAAGTCAGTCATAGTAGTAACTAGGGCAGTCACTGAGAAACAAATACCTTGAGTAATCCAAAAACTCTGCAGTTGTCCTATAAGAATGTACAGATGGATATAAAATAAACCTCAAGGACAATTTCCCTATTCTCTAATAAAGATAACTGCATATTTATATTTATAGATAATTTGATCAAAAGAAAAACACTGCTTAGATTATCTGTTAAAATAAAGACATTGCCAAAAAAAAATAAAAAAAAAAAAAACATTCCCAAATGGTATGTAATTTTTCCTTCAGGTGATCAGCTAAAAGACTGGCTATAATAAACATGACACTTTCTACTAGAAGGAAAGCAGTAAGTAACTGAAGTTATTTTTTGGCTTTTAAATTTACCTCCTAAAAAAATATACTGAGGTCATTATTTGTGGTAATGATATGTATCACAGGTAATGAAAATTTATTTTTAAATGTGAGAAGATACTACAGTATGTTATTATTAAAATAAACTCAAAGTATTCATATTAACAACCTTCCATAAAAGCAGTATCAAATTTCTACATAGCACTTTAATGTCCAACTCCTAATCACTCTAATGGGTAGGAACAATATTATAAGTACTGCAAAGTAATTTATATTTGGCTCCAGGATGCATTTTTATACTCACATTCAAATATGGATATAAATTATACTACTTCAAATCAAATAATGAAGCTATGCCATAAAGACATGACCCCAAGAAATTCCGTAATGCTACCAAATTTTCTTGCCCTCTACAATGTACTGCTGAAATACTCTGCTTCCCACCCTATGCAGGGGATGAACTCATTAACTTTAAGGCTCAAATGCTGCTGTTCCCTCTCCATCCTCCCCAAATCCCTCCCACAAAAACAAACAAACAAACCAAAAAACAAAAAACTGAAAGAAAACCCCACTTGCTGTCCCAATCACACCTTCTCTAGGGGAAGAGGCCTTTCTTGGTGGTTGAACCAGGGTTGGGGGGAGGGGAGACTGTGGTTCTGGTACAAGAAGACTCCAGAGTGCTGCAAGGTTCAAGTCAAAAGGAGGTGAGAGAGTCAGGTCAAACAAACATCAATCAAAATGTTTAATTCCCCTAAACTGGAAAATCAGAGTTGACTAGACAGCACAAATCATTCCAACGGAAATACAAGGGACTCAATTCTCCCCTCATTTCTAACTTATCTATTCCTATATGTGTACTTGTATTACTACTGAACTAAGTAAAAAGAGAGATGATCCCAAATGAATAGAGTTCAGAGCTGATTATTACTCAACTTACAACGGGGATTTCTAATAGGCTCTAAGATAGCTTCTTTCAATAAAGGCTTTTTCTAGGAACAAAATAGACTGCATCAATAGTAGCAGAGTACCACTTAAAAATGTGTTCATTAATTTCTTCAAAAGTGACTTCACTTATCATTTCCAAATTAACAATCACGGTTAGAAGCATTCAAGGAAAACAAACTAATGGCGTGAGATATTTTACCTGCATTTGTCACAACAGATCATGTATCCATCATCATGTGTAAAACCACATATGCACCTGGTTACATCAGTACCATAACTTCCATCCTCAGATGTGCTGATTGTAGTAGCACTGGAAGTTTCATCAAAATTAGGAGTGGTAAATATGCCTACTTCATTTTTGCTAATAAGAACTGATGGAGGAGGGGAGGCTGGAGGTGTTGGAGGAGGACGAGCACCATAATTATGGTCCTGGATAAGGGAACACAAATGCAACACAATGTGAGCTAAGTAACTTAAAATCCAACCGTGACTTTGAACAATCAAGAGATACAAAATTGGTCTATTCTTTAATATCTTTAAAATAATGACTTGGCTGGGATTTAGCTCAGTGGTTCTGGCACCTGCTGCGCAAGCGCAAGGTCCTGAGTTCAATCCCTGGTACCAAAAAAAAAAAATAAAGTAAAATAAAATAAAATAATGACTTGATGAAGCTAGATCTGGTTTTTTGTTTTGTTTTGTTTTTGAGACAAGGTCTTGCTATGTAGTTCAGGCTGGCTTTGAATTCACTATATAGCTCAGGCTGTCCTCAAACTTGTGACAATCCTCCTAGTTTGGCCTCCTGAGTGCTGGGATTACAGGTGTGCACCACCGTGCCCGGCCAATGAAGCTAGCTAGATCTTACAACACAGTGGTTAAGTGACTACAGCTATTTACAAAGTGTGTGTGTAGGAGGGAGGAGTCCACCTTCACATCAACACCATTTCCCCCTCCCTAAATCCAAAGATTCTTTAGTCTTCAGATAGTTCTTTGGTCACACAGCTTCACCTTCACGATAAAAGCAGGTACATGACATAGGAACAAAGATTTAAAAAAAAAAAACCCTCAGGAATACAGAGGATAAGAATAACAAAAACAAAAGAAGATACACTATTACTGTAAAGTGTATAATATGAGATTTTTTAAAAATTGGTACTATTTATTCTGGTCCAAGTAAAAAAAAAGTTCTCAATTTTACCTTCATAATATCACAAATGTGTCCAATTCTGAAACTATCTAAATACAAACTCTTCCTACTAGATATGCAATACTGATTAGCTTAGATGAGTTTTTTGCTCAAGTATAGAACAGGGATGAAAACTACATTTCATGAGGTTGTTTTTGAGGATTAAGTGAGATTAAGTCTGCCACATAACAAGTGCTCAACAAATGATAACTATATAATTTACCATGTAAATTACTATATAATTTAGAATACATAGCACAATATAACTTTAACCACAGTCTCATCAAATTACTAATAGCATAAAATTTATAAAATAATAATTATAATTTTTAAAATTTTAATCCCTTAAGTAATATGGATAGATTAATTTAAACTACAAATTACATATCCAGGGCTGGGGATTTAGCTCAGTGGCTCTGTCCCTGCCTCGTCAGCACAAGGTCCTGAGTTCAATCCCTGATACTGAAAAAAGACAAAACAAAAAAACTACATATCTAATTGTTCAAGTATCAAACAACTATGCTTTTACAATTCTTGAGTTTTAAGCACAATACTATACGCATCCCTTTTCAGTCTCTAAATGTTAAAAATATTCTTTCAGAGAAACATTTGACACTTACCGCATAGGGCAAACCAATGTAACTGTGTGAATGATGTGAGCTGCTGGTATATAACTGGTGGGGATAACTGTTGGATTTCTCAACTACCACAGGGCTAGCTTCTACGGATTCTGGTCTGGAGGGAAAAAAGTTCCATCAATGAGAATTCAATTCATTTTTTTTCTTATAATCAATTTAAAATAAGTACTTACACTAAAACATTGGCAATACAAATACAATATATATTTATAGTAGGTAGATAACTGGCATATAAGACATACCCTATTCTAGATTCTGGGTCAAAACAAAGCTTTTTGTTTAAGTAAAATAAATGTCCTACTCCAAGTTCAAATATAGTTTTCCTCTCTATCATTAAAAAAAAAAATTACTCAAAACCAAACATATAAAATAGCCAACAACTCTGGGAACACTGGATTGGACACAGGGTAGAGAGAAGTGATGGGCTGATTAAGCAGGACTCAGGATACAATGAACCTAAATGGACCTTGATGTGAATGTGTCTACATTTTTTTTTTTTTTTTGGTACCGGGGATCAAACTCGGGACTTTGTGCTTGGGAAGCAAGCGGCGGAACCACTGAGCTAAATCCCTGGCCCGTGAATGTGTCTACTTTAATATTCAAAACTATATAACAGTGTTGAGTGTGATAAGACAGAACAGAGCTTTGGAAATGTCAGTAAGTTAGGGAACAAGAAACCTCATAATGAACCAGGACTTATACCTGAAAAAATTCAAGCAGCAGCCCCTAGTTGATCTGTACTTCTGGCCTGGTAACAGTTAAGAAAATGGTGATGACCTCTATTGCTACAAATGAAGTAACAATTCACCAGTTGTTACTGATTTATAAACTCTCTTCCCTAGTACTTTACATATGTCACTTTTGCAACTTCTTTACTCATTCCAAACCTCCTAAGCTCTACTTTAGCTAATTCCTATTGGTCAGTGTGGTAACATACCTACATGTGAGGTCAATTCACATTAAAATTAATCTCTCCTTTTCATATATACAACACAATCTGTTTCTGTGCTAACACTTTACAATACTATAGATGGAATACTACTGAAATGATTTTTTTCACAACAATCCTTATCCACAAGTTTCCCTTAAAACTTAGAACTATGTGTATTACTAATGGTTTCAGACTTCTAGCTACACTCTAATTGGTCCTAAGACCAGCAGCACAAAAAACAAATTTTATAGTCAACTATTTCTTCATATATTCCCCCTCTTTCTCAAATCTCAATTTAGCTATAAGAGGCTGCTGCTGTGACACCTGGTGTGCCAGATCAACAGAAAAAGAAGGTGCAAACAGAAGTTACTAATTACAAGAGATTACAAAAAGAAGTCTCCAATATGTTCTGAATACTTTATTTATTTATTTTTGGTACTGGGGATAGAACTCAGGACCTTGCGCTTACAAGGTAGGTGCAGTGGCACTGAGCTAAATCCCCAGATCTGTTCTGAATGCTTTAAAAACTAACACCTAATGTCTATGCCATTAAACCTCTTAGTTTCAAAACTGATACATCTTCACTATGTAAATTTTCAATACAGAAGTACATAACACAAGACTATTACCATCCAATCTCTACTACCACATCAGCACTGCCTTGTATTCCCTTCTAAATTTTACTGTGCATGAATTTAACATAAGTACCTACACAAACTGTGATCAAAATATACAAAAAATGTTTAAATTTTTGAAAATTACCATAAAAGTCACACTGCCATTAATCTCCTTCAAAATAATCCCCATTGGTTCAAAAAACTTATCATTTTTGCCATATTCTAAAGCAGTTCTGGAAGTTCTCTTTCATGAGTGTCTTTACAAGGTGTGATAAAAAAATATGAATGCAGTTGCTCAGTGCCATGCAACAGAAAGGAAGCCTCCTAAAAAATTACGGTGGTCTTCATCCACTTCATTATTCACCAGATGTGACACCATACGAGTTCTGGCTTCTCCTCTCCAAAGTCAAAATGACCATGAAAGGTAAAGGTTTTGAGTTTATTCAGGACATCAAAGCAGCCATGACAATGCAACTAAAGACACATACAAAAGAGGACTTCTAGGACTGCCTCAAAAAGTGGCAAGAAGGATGGAATAAGTGTGCTTGAAGAGAGGGGGAATACTCTAAGGGGGATTAATTGCAATGTGTCTTTGACTGTAAAAAACTTTTTTAAATGTAAAGATTTATTGATTTTTTAATCATACCTTGTATTCACCACTTGCTCTTCCTACCTTTAAATGTCAATAGACAACTATCTTATTTTTGGTAATAACTGCTTATTTCACTATATAAATGTGACATAGCTTATTTAACAATTTCCCTACTGATAAATTGTTTTTATTTTTCACTATAAAAAGTATCAGTGGAACTGTACACCCTTGCCACATATCTTTTCTGCATACATGGCACTGTTTATATAACAAGGATTCTTGGAAATATAAGTGCTAAACAAAAAAGGATAAAGGCACATAAAATTGATAGACATTGCCAAACTATCTTTGATTATTTTACAATATTGACTCCTTTAAAGTTCTTTAAAAATTATATAGAAGAGGGCTGGGGATTTAGCTCAGTGGTTTCACCACCTGCTGCACAAGTGCAGGGACCCAAGTTCAATCCCTGGTACCAAAAAAAAAAAAATTACATAGAAGAAGTAGCATTTAGCAATGATCTATAATACTATTAATAAAGCAACATGCAGGACTTGTGGCCAGTGTAGCAAGATTCACTCTTAAGGATTTAGATCAAACTCTTCAATGTTACTAAAGAGTATGGGAAAACTTCAATATTTTGGAGTAGTTAATGGTGGCGCCATGCCTATCTGAAGTAGTTAATGGTTAGGAATAAAATTAAACTTTTAGTGGAAATGTAGATAAATTCAAATATATAAGATTCACAAATACTTTGTATAACATCATGATTCAAATTAAAGCTACAATGATGACAAGTTGGCAATGAAAGAAAGCAAAAATACTTAGAGCCTCATGCCTACTGCCTGTACTTTATTTTAAAAACAAGGTAAAAACTTTGAGAAAAGAGTTGGTTGACTATTTTAAGGATTTTCCAAACCTAAGTCATTTACTTATTTATTTTTTGGGTTCCAGGGATCGAACTCGGGTCCTTGCGCTTGCGCAGCAGGCGCCGAAACCACTGAGCTAAATCCCCGGCCCTAAATCTAAGTCACTTTATTAAAATTTTTAAACAACTCTTTTTTAAAAAAACAAAGTAACAATAACAGGTATTATTAAGACGAAAGTCCCACAGTCAGGAATATCTCAAAACTCTGCATTTCTACAGCAAGGTAAATCAGAAAAACAACTTGGTGACAAATGCCAAAAGTCAAACTTCCTCTCCACAGCCCCAATTTTGAAAACTTACCATAAGGAAATAGTTCCCACCAAAGGCAGACGTGCAGATCTGAGATGTTTGTTTTAACACTATTTGTAAACTAGAATTTTGAGTAGAAATCTTAAGCTTCTACGTTAAGGTCAAATGAGTTTCCCTCTAAAATCTCCTGCAATGCTATCATACAATAAATTGTGCAGTAGTTTGTTGTTGTTTACAAGTCTGACTAGTCCTGTTTTAAATAAATCATTAAATTTGCAAGGTATCAAATATTGTTAAATTATTTAATACTTACTGAACATCAAGAATGCATTAGACTAACACAGACTTTATATAAAATTTGTTCTTTTTAAAGTATACCCCCCAAATTTTATCTCTTAAAGCCTTAAAATAAGTTTTTTTATAATCCTTTTATACAGTTGCAAGTTCCAGCCCAGCTTGGGCAAATTAGTGAGATTCTGTCTTAAAACAGAATTTTATTTGCTATCTGTACTATATATGTGCACATTGTTAATCTAACAGGAACACGAATACACTAGTACATACATCACTTTTCTATACGTACTTTCCTTGTCTCTTTTAATGATACAAGCCCCTAGTTTGAAGGGTTTATAGGGACTGTACATAAGTATACTATGCCTTCAGCATATCCATGAAGTACTGACATGATTTTGTGTAATATCATGTATGGTTAATATAGTTATGTAAGATTTAATATACTAATGTAAAATTTATGAAGATTAATAAAATCTGACACAATGTATCAGATTCACTCTTCACTCAATCTAATATCCGATACATTGAGCCAAGAAACAGAATGTGGGCTCCTTGGAGAAAAGTGATTCTTTTATTCAAAACCTGTGTAAAGATGTATTTTGCCTCTTATTTCTTTAATACTGTTAAATGTATTTCTGGTTTTCATGTTTTTATACCAACTGAATAAGAACCTTAAAAGGGTTCAGTAAAACCTCTGATGAACTATCATGTTTCCAGATACTACACAGGTTTCGATCTTATTAACCATCTCCATAAAAGAGCTCTTTAAACCTCGGTGACCATTTTTTTCCTTCAGATGCACTTATCTTTCTCAATAACGTGTATCAGAGACAAAGGCAGAGTACTCCAGCCACTAGTATAATATATTTCTGTACAAAGTGATGATGAGTATCATTTTTCTGGATTCTGTTGGGATAGCAGCTTATTATACTGAAGTTTAAAAATGACTATATGCCAGGTGGGGTGGTGCATTCCTGTGATCCCAGCATTCTTGGGAAGCTGAGACAGGAGGATCCCAAGTTCTAGCCCAACCTGGAAACAGTGACTTAGTGAGATCCTGTCTCAAAAAGTAGTGCTAGGAATGCAGTTTAGTGTGATGGCCCTATGTTTAATTCCCAGGGCTGCAAAAATGAATGAATGAATGAATTAATTAATGTAGGTTAGTTTTTCTGTCCCTGACAAAAGAGCTGGGGATGCAGCTTAGGGCAAAGGACCTGGATTCAATCCCCAGTGCTGCCATAAGTAAATGAATGAATGAATAATGAGTGTAACTTAGTATTTCTGTTCCTAACAACAGTGAAACATTTGTCATTTTCTGCTGACTCTTAGTGTTCTCAAATTATATCTTAGTAACATTAATATAAGCCTTTAGTATATGAAAGAATGAATCTAGGGTGTCATTTTACAATCTCTATTCTAAGCAAGGCATTAAAATAAAAGCACTCCTAGCAATGCTGGAAAAGATCCCATTCCCTAGATTACTTCA